TACCTACAGGAAGATTTTCCAACTCATTCACCTCACTGTCTTCTACCCAAGCACAGGAGGAGGTGGCTTTAATGATAAGATTCTGACTCATCATATTTACTTCACAGGCATTCACACACACGCACACACACACATATACAGGGCTTATAAATTCAGCTCCAGCATTCTTCTCTGTCAGGCACTGGGGCATGCAATTAAAGATGCAGGACCTATCACCTCCTGCTGTGCATGGCCACAAGCCCACAAGCTCCTCAAGAAGCCAAATCCTGTCATTCTCTTCACCTCACCCTCAGAGGATCGGATAAGAGCAAAACCTCCAGTTTCTGGCTGCCACATATAGCACCTCAATGATCTAACTACCCAGCTGTACATGTAATGATTGGGCTTCAATTCGTGTGAAATACAGCACTGCATCCCACTGGCATTTAGGCCTCCTGATGGCTAGATGGCATAGGCTGCTGCAGTCAGGGCGGCCAGCAACGTCTTCCTGTCTGGGCTACTCTTAAAGACACAGGACCCTCTCAAGGATCCAGCTCCACTCTCATCCCCTCACAGCACCAAGCATTTCCCTCAAGCTTCCCCAACTGTTTTAACAAGTTCCTGCAGCTCCTGCTCAGTCTGCTGTTTTCCCACCAGCTCCCCCCACCCCAGGCCCATCTTTTCTAGGATTCTACCTCTGGTCTGCAGTCCAACCTGTCTTCTCTAGAGAGCCTTCCCTACCCAAGGGCCGGCAAAACCTTCCAGTCCAGTTTGACAACTAACTCTTCCCACAGAAGGCTGGCTGCGCACACTGCGTTGCTGACACCTGTGTTCCTTGAACTGCTGGAAGCATCGCAGACCTAGTCCAACCAGTCAGGGTAGGAAGTTTCCCTGTGGCTGGCAGAAGATGGAGCTGCCCACCAGGAGGCATCTTCCTACCTGTACACACCCCTACCCAGGCACCCCCTTCTCATCTGCACCAAATCATCTAGCCCACAAAGCTCTCACCCACCCTTGTGCAGAACAGGGATCTGCACCCCATTAGCCTCTCCTCCCATGGTAGCCTGCTTCTTTTTGGGGGCTAACCTTTCCCTTCTTCAGGCAACCTGACTCCTTGTAAAGAAAGAGGGGAAACGTCTACGCAGATGTACTGATGGGGGGGATTATTTATTAGGTCTACCTGCCCAACCCACAACTGCCCTTGTCTCCACTTTCTTTTTTCCTCAGTGAAGAAGGCAAGAATTACAACATAACCCCCCACACACACACACACACTCTTTCGTTTTTCTGTCTTCCGCCATTTCAAAGTGCCACCCTCTGATTCCTCCCCATCCCACCCAAGAACTCACTTCCTGTTCTGCTGGCATGTGTGGGAGGGGGTGGGTGGCACCCTTCAAAGCAAAAGGCACCCTCTCCACCTATGACCCCCTTTCTTGCCTGACGCACTGCCCGCCACCACCAAAGGACTGGGGAAGGAGGAGGAAAGAGGCTGGCTTGCACACCCAAATCCAGACTGCTAGCTCGGAGGATCTCTAATCGAGGCTCCATCAACCTTCCCCCTCCCTTTATCAACTCTCCCATAATATTCCTGTGATCAGCTAACAAACACAAAGCCCTGAGAAGGAGGAGTGGTAAGCATGGCATTATAAAGATGACTTTCTGCCAAAAGCATGGGGGATTTTCCCCTTTCACTCTGTTATCTCTGGTGAACAGTGAATCTTCCCCTAACTCTCTGAATCCTGAACAAAGAAGGGCTGAACTATTTACTACTTTATACTCTGCTCCAGCTTATTCTCAGTCCCTCCCACCCACCCCCACTTATAATCTCTTCTCTCTCCTTTATGAATTCTCTCTACCCCCTTCCCTCTCTCTCTGTACCAGATTTTTTTTTCACTTATGCTTTTCAAGTCTCCTGCTGCAAAGTATCTCTGAATAGGATTTACTTATGCAGGGCAACAAGAGAAGCCCTTATCATCACCATCATGCTGTGCAGGGAGTTAACCACAGGCATTTAGCTGCTTAGGCTTGACAAGGACAGATTAAACAGATTTCCCTCAATCTTAGCAACTTGACTCCCGCAAGCAATTCTTAACCACCTCTCCCCAGCCTTGTCTCTTCTCCCCCTCTTTTCCCAATAGTATTCTTCCTCTGCCTTCTCCAGCCTTCCTCCAAGTCCCTCCTGGTTTATGCACAGGAAGGCATTCACAGACGGTTCTGCCATTCTCTCCTGCTTCTGGTTAACCTATTTCTTGCATATATGCCCTTTTATCTATCTCTGCCCCTGCTTCTCACCCGGCAGCCATTTCCTCTCCCAGGGTCCCCCCTTCCTCCAGTGATTTCCTTCTCCTCCAGCAGTGACTGCCTCCCCATAGTCTGTCCTCACTTCCTCCCCGGCTCTCTGATCCTTGCCTCAATCCCCTTGTCTCAATTCCTCCTCCCTCTTCTTATTCAGGCCTCCCTTGGATTTCTTCACTTCCTCCCCTATGAATTCCTGCCCTCCCGAGTCTTCCCACCATTCCTTCCCTGACCATTTGTATTGTGCTTCCTCCTACACCGCACATTTACTTAACACTGCATAGTTCTACCTTCACCTACCTGTCCCTCTTCTCCACCTTTTCACTCTCCAACCTTCTTTCTTCCTCCCTCACTCACTGCACTTCTGCTTCCTCCCCTGAAAGAGGAGAATGGAGACCACTTGCATCTGCTTCCTTTCAGATGCCAAAGAGTACAGACCTATCAGGACTGTCCCTGCATAATGCTGGGTTTAGATAATCCAGGTATGTTAATGAAAACCATTAACCAAGAACTTAAGTCAAAAAAGCAACCGCCTTTCCATCAGCTGACCCCCCTCCAAAGGATTGCCTGGAATAAACTCCAGCACAACCACCATGAGGCCCACTTGTGTAAATGTGGGTGTTGTTGTTGTTTAGTCGACTCTTTGTGACCCCATGGACTAGAAAATGCCAGGCCCTCCTGTCTTCCACTGCCTCCTGGAGTAAACGTGGGTAAAATTATGCTAATAATAATACAGATGTAATTAGCCTTTGCTTGCCAAAGCCTTGATTTTCTCCCCTCTGCCATTCAATGGCTATTTCTTAAGATGCCTGCAGCTAATCAAAGATACAGGGGACAAAAACCAACAACCCCAAGTCTCCCATGTTTATACAGATAGCCTTTGAATCTGAAAAGTGAGTAATAAATGTAATGCATCCTCAGCCCTGACAGAACTTGATTGCTTAACCCACTTTCTCCAAGGCAGTCTGATTTTTCCACCCCACGCCCTACCACTCATCCTGTGTATGATGCTTTGCCCAAGCTAATGAAGAGAGAACCTACAGAGTGAATAGAAAAATGACAGAACTAATCACCTCCACAAAGTACAGCAAAAGCAAAACTGGTCAGCGTCCACCATCCTATCAGGGGCTCCCTTTCATCCCCATGAACTCAAGGGTCCTCAAGCCACCTGCCACGAGTGGCAAGGAAGCACAGTGATCACAGAAGAGAAGGAGATAATGTTGCAGGTAAACTGAGTTGCATATCCACAACATATGTTTTATAGACATGTGCATCGAGACAAATACACAAGACTTGGTGTGTTTCTATCAGAGGCACATACACAGCAGCCTAAGGACTCATTGATGAATAATCTGCTTTCATGCATCCTTTTTTATTATTATCATCAACATTCCTTTGGAAGAACCAAATGATCTGCAAAGCTCCTTCTCTGCAGGGAAGTAAGTGGCCTTGTACAGAGCAGGAAGGTGTACTTCGACAACAGGGCACCCTGCATTCGCACACAGCCCTCCAAAACTTGTCCAAGTTACTTGGGACTACACGGCAGCCAAACTGGCTATGGGGTGGGGTGGGTTTTCTTTGAGATGCAGTCTTGAACTGGAGGTGATGATTTCTGGGGCTTTTTGTGTCCAGAGGAATTCTGGGACTTGCAGAGGACGGGATGGAGGATTCTGGGACTTCTAGTGGCCATCATGGCGGATGGTGGATGATTCTGGGGCTTGTAGTAACAATTCCAGCAGGGAAGTGGGACCCTGCGAATTGTAAGGGCCTTACTGATGAGACAAATCCTGGCAGGTACTGAGGCCACTCCTGGCTAGAAAAGGTCTGGGACTCATCCTGGCTGTATTAACGGTTATGGTGGTGGTGAGGTTTCTGGGATTCATAATAACCACACTACAGTGGTCACGTTAGGCTAGAAGGAGGCATTGGAGGCTTTGTTGTGGCCATGCGGGATTGGGTAAGTGGGAGGGGGTTTCTGGGAGCTGTACTGGCTATGTTGGGCTGGGGGGGAGGATTCCAGGACTTACGGTGGCCATACAAACTGGGAGAGGGATTGTGGGATTTGTAGTGGCCATGCTGAGTTGGAAAGATGAATGTTGGGATTTATAGTGGCCATACTGGGCAAGGAAAGGGGGGGGATTCTGGCACTCATGGTTAGCCATAAGGACTGGGAGGGAGGATTCCAGGATTTGCAGTGGCCCTGCTAGCTCAGAAGGGGGGCCATTCTGGGATGTGCAGTTTGCCCTGCCAGCTGAGCAGGCGGGACTCTGGGATACATGCAGGGGGCTAACTAGCCCAGGGAAGGGAATTCTGGGGACCTGGAGTGGCCATGTCGGGCTGGGAAGAGGGGAGGCTTCTGGGGCAGGGGTCTGTATTTGCCAGCTGAGGCGCAGGAGGGATTCTGGGATCTGTAGGCGCTGTTGAGCTGAGGAAAAAAGGAGGTGGCCGCATCTTCTGGGCTTGGTCGTGGCCACAAGGGGGGCTCGAAGACCCTTGGAGAATCCCTCCCAAACTGCACACACACGCACACACACCCCGGGGGGGGTCCCCTTGCGCCCCAAAAGAGTGTCTGTGGGGATGGCGATAGAAATGG